TTCCTGTTTCCTTGTTACCGGTAGGCACAGGACAAATAAACTGACTCAGCAGCCTCAGTGATACTCTCAAACAGTTCAACAGGTGAAGAGCTGAAGTCTCCAAATGAGGAGGGGATCTCTTTCTGCCACCAGCATAACATCCAGACAGTGGAGTACTCAGAGTATCTGACTTATGCTTCTTTTAATTAAACACATCTAATGTGATGCTTGTTCATTACAACCTTCACCTTTGCTTTATTGCTCAGTCGATGTTTAATAAGCCTTGAAAGTTTCCAGAAGTTCTCATAAAGAGTTTGTTGCCCATCAGACCTATACAAGGTATCATTCAGCATTGCAGTGTCAGTCAAAAGTAATTTTGTGGCAAATTTTAGAGCTTATTAATTCATGCGCAGCACAAGAAGCCATGGATATCTATTTTCAGTGGAGATAGCATTAAAAGATGCATAATTACAGTTAGAAAATATTCCTAGAAAACTTTACTCTTTCAGCATGTGATGATTGCTTATAGGTAACACTCTGAGCAGTCTTCTAGGCTCACCAAAGATTAACATCAAAACAGTTCACCAGTGGAAAGATGCCTCAACTTTTTCAGCTGAGCACCTGTTATCTTTGCAATTTAATAAAGCATTGAAAACTTTTTTCATTAATGCTTTAAACCTAATCATAAGTTTGACTATAGATAATCAATATTATTTCTATGCATTGAAGTCAGTACAAAACTGATAACACTCTTACTAAAGGAAAGAACATATGATTAAGTCATATTGAACCTGCTCATTAGATGGAAGGGAGGCATTGTAAAGTGTTCACTCCTCAAGAAATATTTCCTTTCTCCAGATTTTCTAATGGAAAGTTTTTTGTTCTTTCATGTTTATGAAAAAACCGTTCTGGATATACAAAAAAAGCTCTTTGAGTAGACACATTTATTCTTCAGTGTGCTACTATTTTATTTATTCTGTCAAAAAAAAAGGATTTTTTTTTCTGTATATATGGATTAACATGAACAGCAATAGCTGCCACAATTCATGCCTACAGAAACACTGATATTCCAAATGGAGAAGTATTAATTTTTTTTTCTTAATGGAGGACTTTTGAAACACTTGGAGTAGAACATGATAAAGGAAAGTCCTGACTACCTATGACCATGTGATACCTTTTGCAAGAATTCATTCACCAGCTCCAGCACCATGGCCCTATGACTGGGGTAACTTTCTGCCTATTCAAAGGCATATTTCCATTACAATTGTAGGAGAGAGATTCTTAGTATTTTTCTGTGCTGTTAAACAGCTGCTGCATTTCAGTGCTGGTAAAACAGTTCTACATATAATTTTCCTTTTTTGAAATGAAAGTGTTTTGGGATCTCTCTAGATGAAAGATAGACTAGAAATGCAAATTATCCTTAGCCACATAACTCAGAATTACCTTTGTATTTTATTCTAAATCTGTGTTTGGATATATAAAAATCCTGAAAATCAGTGACATTAGACCTGCTCATAACTGACATGCTTTTGGGGAAAATAAACAGATAGAACTGCCAGCTGCTACATGAATGTTGTAATGGAATGAGTGCTAACGCTGAAAAGAATCTCCTTTAATGAAATGTTTAATAAAAAATTTAATTTTATTTATGTGTTTAGAGAAACAACCCCAGAAAATTAATATCCAAAAGCTTGAGTGAATTTATGTCATAACTTCTCAAGTTTCTTTTTCCCCCCAGTTTTATTAACATAGACATTTGGGTTTGCACCAATACTTGCTCTTTGAATCTGTATATGTAAGTTTACTCCAAGTAATGACTGTAACAAAACATACCTTGGCAGAACCTTGCAAAATATAAGCCTGTTTAAGTTACTCAGTAAAGATAACATTTCTCCAAAAATGCAGAAAAAGAAACTCTAGCTGCATGTAAATTAAATTTAGAACACTCCTTTGCATGGAGTGAAAGTCTGGCAGGCCAGGAAAAATCCATAAATGTGATTGCAGTGACAGAAAGTAAAACAAGACAGAGGTCTCTGATGTCCAGGCAGCACATGCATGCCCTTTGCAGGAAAAGTCTCTTCACAGAACTGTCAGTGGCTTTGCTCCCCCAGCCCCATGACACGGCTGCCTCCATTTCCAAGCTTTCCAAAAGCTTCCAGACAAGATTTGAACGAAACCAAAACGCTGAGTGAAAGAGCAAGAACAAAGTCAAAGTTTATTGTAGTTATTATTGTACTTTTATGTAGTTATTTAGGTACTAGCAGCAACAGGGCCTCCAATGGTTAGAGATTTCCCATCTTGCTGCTGCTACACCAATGTCAGGAAGGATTTTGGTAAATGCTCTCCCATTTACACACTGCTCAGCACCATGGCAAAGCCAAGGGTAAGACTGGTAACTTGCAGGGATTGCTACCAGAACTTCAACAGGGGTTAGGAAAAATGGTTTGCCTATGTCACCACCTTTCCTGTGGCAGTAATCAAATCACGGCTTCCAGAGGAAACTGGAGTACTCTGCAGGAGGTTAATGTTGCAGTGGAAGGCTATTTTGATAAAGATTTAAGGGAAATGCCCTTAACTACAGTACAGATGAGGACCATGGCAGTTTCAACTTGTGTCTCTCATTGGAAAGCAAGCAAGCTGCAGGCTTACTCTGAGGAGGGACTGCAGGACAGGTGCCAGCAAACCAAACCCCTTCAGGACCTCTCCATCTGAAAATGAAGAGAGGACATAGATGGGTGAAACATTTATGTAGAAATCTGAATATAAATGCTAGTTTAAATACTTCTCAAGGCATCCTCAGTACCACTGTTGCTCAAGGTTTTTGTTTCACAGCTAAAGATAGCTCTGCTGGTAACATGAGACAAAATAACGGTGGAATTGTTTTACTCCAAGAGAGGCTGGGTACTAAGGAACCAGCTTTATTTCCTCCCACCACCAGCTCCTTCTAAAAGATGCTTTAATGTGAGCATTACCTTGTATTTCTTAAGATGAGCCTTAATGGGACCTCAGCATCCCTATGGCAGTTCTGTAAATGCAGGGTTGCCTCTGGGGTATGGCCACTGGCCTGTATCAGGTGAGCTGCTAATGTAAGTCAAGCAAGCCTACGTTTCTGCATTTTAAAATACCAGACTCCTGTTTCCATGACAGAACTTGAAAGAGACAAAGGGCTGAAGTCTCACAGCTTCAGAGTAAAACAGATTTTTAGCATGGCAAAAGATTTGCTCAGTTTTCTGCCAGTCCAGTCCCAAGTGATGCAAGACCTCTCTTCCACCCCACTCTCCTTTGCACCAGAATTGCTGTAGCTCCCTCAAGAGACAGGAGTATTTCAGCTGAATTTCCAACTCTTAAGATAATTTGTGCTGCTTGTGGTATGCAAATGAGCTTTCTGGGACTGGGACATCTTCACAGTGTTCAAAGCAGTGAAAGAACCCCAAGGTATGCTACACCATTCAGGATCTGAAAGAAAATTGAAATTCTGCTCCCAATTCAAGGAAAAAAATGAAGAAAAAAGCCATAATCTGTATTAAGCGTCTGCTTTTGATTGTGAGCATTAGCAGGCAGAGATCAGCACCTTTCCACTCTGTTTCTATAAAAGCTTTTATGAAGCCATAAAGTGCAGAAGGGCTGCAGGTAGATCTCTGCCAAAGATCATGCAGTTTGGTGACGGTCTTGGCTGATGAGACATTTCAAGACCTGATCCAGGGCATTGAAGGAACATGGAAAAGGATGCAGAAACAGCAGGCAGTTACCTAATACTATCAAGTCTCAATAAAAAAAATGACAAGCTGAGACATTTTGGCAGGCTTTCTGAATACCTAATAGGACAATGCTTGTGTAAACGGGCCTGGAAGTGAGGTGCAGGGAAATAAATTCACAGCAGAAAAAAATCCCCCAAACCCACACTTTAGAAGCAGCAAATTATTTCAGTTCAAAGCTCGTCAGATTACATTGGACCATAGGGTAACAGAATTAGCCTCACTGATTGTTTCTGCAAGACACGATTCACGTCCAGTAGCAATTCAGCAAAAATGCTCCCACCCGAGCCAGAATACATAAGTACTTAACTTTTTGGCAGACCGACCGTGAGAGTATTTGTACCTATGGATTTGCTGTGACACATAAACAAACCCGTACTCCTTACGGAAGCGAAAGGGAGTAAAACCCCGGGACATTCGGGAGGGTCTGGTTTTTCCACGGGGCCAAGTTCTCACAGCGGTTTCCTTAAACCACCAGACCGCGCTGATGGCAAAGGCAAGCGCGGGAGCATTCCCACGCACCGGGCAGAAGTGTCTGCGCACGGGGGATGTAGGCGGCGGCGGGAGAGGCGGTGCGATGCCCTCCTCCTGCAGGTGGGATCCGCCGCTTCGGCCACCTCCAACACAGGCGAGATCCGTCCTTCTGCCTGCGCCCAGTTCTCCATCCCCCCACTCCTTGCCTTTTTTTATTTCCAAGTAACTTCCCCCGTCCCCTCTCCCGCCGGTCCGACGGGGCGGAAGCGGCAGACGGGCGCGGGAGGGACGCGGGGCGGGGGCAGCGCGCAGAGCGCGGCGCGCAGCAGGGGCCGCCCGGCCGGCAAGGGAAGGGAAGGGAAGGGAAGGAGGCTCCGCGCCCCCGCCGCTGCTCTCCGCTCCCCGGCCCGGGGGCGGAGGCGAGGGGCTGCCGTCGCGCAGACACCGCCCCAGCGCCCGCGGAGCCGGGGCTGCTTCTGGAGGGGAGGAGAGGAGCGGAGCAGCGCGGCTCGGCTCGGCTCGGCTCTTGCCCATCCGGGCTGCGGGGCGCTCGCCCCGGCCTCCCCCGCAGGTGGCCGCCTCAGCAGCTCCCCCTGCCCGCCGCACGGCCCGGTGCGCGGCGGCGGGAGGGGCCGCGTCCCGCCCCGCCCCGCCGTGCCGCTGCCGGGCGGCGCTGCAGAGGGCGGAGCGGGCGGCGCGGCCGGCGCCCGGCGCGGGCTGGCTCCCGGCGGGCGGCGCTGCTGCGTTGCTCTGGGAGGCGCCGCGGGGCCGGGCGCGGAGCTGCGGGCTCGGGGGTGTGAGCGGCCGGGCAGGGCGCCCCCAGGATGCTGCGGTTCCTGCGCAGGACCTTTGGCCGGCGGTCGATGCAGCGCTACGGGCGCGGAGCCGGGCGCGGAGCCGGGCGAGGTGGGCTCGGCGGCGAGGGGGACGAGCGGGACGGGGGGCTGCGAGGAGCGGCCGCCGCCGCCGTCGGCTCGGGAGCCTTCCCCTCCTCGCCGCTCCCCGGAGGGGTCGTGCACGGCGCCGGAGCGCCCGTCCACATCCCGGCGGCCGGCGGCAGCAAGCCGGTGCTGCAGTGCCGCGTCCTTCTCCTGGACGGGACCGAAGTCAACGTGGAGCTGCCGGTGAGTAGTGCGCGCTTCCCTCCGCCGCCTGCAAAACGGCGCCTGCAGCTACCCTCTCCCCTCCTCCGCATCGTCCCCCCCTCCACGGCGACGGGCACCTGCGAGTGCCCCCCCCCGGCCGCACAACAGGCGCCGTTCTCCGGGAAAGCCTCGCTAGTTTCGCCCTTCCCTCCGTCTCCGCCTGCATGCACCTGCTGCCAGGTGCGCGGCGCGCCTCCCCGCCATAACCGCCGCCCGCCCCCGTCCTGCCGGCGGGAGCCGTCTGCGCCCTTCTCGCCTCTCCCCGGAGCCAGCGGGGCGGTGGGCAGCCGCTCTCCTCCTCCCCTGCGCAGCCCAAAGCAGCCCCTTGCAGCGCTGCCTCTCTCCCTCCCGCGGTGCGGGCGCTACCTGTGCCTTTCCCCGGCTGGGGCGGGGGGCTGCCCGCCGAGCCCGCCCGACGGCACCGCCGGCTAGGGGGGCATCCCGGTGCGCCGGCCGGGGGAGAGCGGAGCCTCTGCGGGGCAGCGGTGCCTTTGGCTGGGGCTCGCAGCACCTGTGGCGCCGCGGGGACAGCGAGGCGCGGCCGCAGGGGGGTCTCCGGGGGTCGCCGCCTCCTTCTTCTCCTTAGTTCTTGTTTCCCATCGTCCCCGCTGCCGGGGCCGGCGCAAGGGCCCTCCGGGATGCCCGAGGCGCTCTCCCCGTCCCGGGTGCGGGGCCGGGGTCAGGGCGAGTCCGAGCCGGGTGCGGGGCCGGGGCCGGCGCTGAACTTTCTCCCCTCCCGCCGCTGTGCCGGAGGAGTGAGGAATGAGGAAGGGACGGGGCTGGCCTGCGGGGCTGTGCGTGTGTTGTTTGTGCCTGCTCGCTGAGGTCGGACCGTGTTTGTTTGTAGGTGTTTCGGCATTCCCAAAGCCCGTTGTGTGTTCTTTTATCGCTCTTAAACGCAGCTGCACGGTGTGTATCCGTCATTTGCAGTTTTGGTGTTTTCATTCCTCACAGCTGCTAAGTACTCACCACACATCCTTTTTTCTGTTGACTTTTCCCTCCCTTTTGAAACCCAAGTTTCCCATGAAATAGTATAGAAGTTTACTATGTTTGAAAAGCATTTAATCTTCTTTCCATTTCAACCTAAATAGTCACCAGCCATTAAGCTTGGTCTCCAATAACAGGTGGAAGAACTTAGTAATAGTGAGTGTAACAGCTTGAGAAATTGTGCACTGCTTTAATCTCCAGCAATATAAAACCGAGGGTTTTTTTCAGAGTACCTTTAGACTCTTGTTAGGTGCCTTTCATATTAGCTGTCATCTGTATATATTGGCATAATTTCACTAAAACATGGAAATTGGCAACCCTATTGTTTCTGCTTGAAAGAAACAGAAGAGATTGAGTAAGACTCCTGTAAGTGAAGTATGTGAACGGAGCCACCTAGAGATACTTGCTGCAGCATTATCAGGCCTCCCTTGCCTACAGACTACATTGCACATTTCTAGATATTTGAAATGCTAATGTATTTCCTTTCCTCACAACTCCTTCTCAACTTGCTGCACTCCTCCTAGCAGCTCAGCACAAATCTTTTATAATATAGAGTTGATGATTGTTATCAGTGTGCTAAGCGTTTACTGATAGAGGTCTGTGTCAATAAGCTCAGTAAATATTTTGTTTAAGGTCATACTCTGATTGTCAAAGGTCAGATTTTGCTGTAGAGCCCATTTAAGAGGGTCTGAGGGTTTGCAGGATCAGAAAGTGAGGTAATGATGCTCATAGTCCTTGAGTGCTGAAAACATATGGACATATCTGCTTGGCCCAGTAAAGAAACTGTGAAGCATACTTGCTTGAATGGACCTCCAAATGAAGTTTAGACTTGCCATTGCTTGAATGTGAGCTGCACATGTGGTGGTTGTAGCTCAGCTGTCCAAAGAGAGAGTAAGAAGTTGTTTTTATTTTTTTTCACCCAAATCACTAGAGTGATGGAGGACTTTGGAGCATGTAAAAGCTGTCAGTGTTTTGAGGATAAAAACTGTTCTGTTGAGTTACGTATCTGTTCCTCATGTTTTTTTCCTTTCTTTAACAGAAAGTGACACCCACACTGAGAGTTAGAAAAACTGAAAGAGGCATTGCAGTGTTTATAGAAGTTGATCAGTAGAGTTTCTCTGAGCTTTGCAGGTTTACATTTCATGGGAATAGGGCGTGAAACAGAGTGTGCTTTAATACTCACAAGCGGAGGTATGGGATGGTGGAGCTGAATGAATTGAGTAACATCCCTTAAAAAAAGTGTATGGTGCTTTCTTTCATTTTAGCTCAAATTTTATCAAAACGAGGGAGTGTGGGCTTCATCACCAATGAGCAGCTTACTCATGGAGTCAAGTACAGAGATGATTGCAGAGGATTTCACTGTGCTGCTGATTGTGTTTGCAAGCACTTATTTCAGGAGATACTGGCATCTATAAAATGTGCTCCTCGTGCTGACACTGCTCCTCCCTTGCCTTTCTAGTTGAAAAAGGAACTTGTTGATATTAGAACACAATACTCTTGCAACCACAACTTTTTAGGCTATCTCAAAGACTTTGTTTAGAAGTAATTGAAAGGTTTATTGGATTTCAAAGACTATGGGGTTTATTTGCTTGTGTGGAGGAATGACAGAAACTATATGACTGGAGGAAAATTAGCTATATACACAGAAAAAAGGTTCTGAATTCTTTTCCTATTAGTTATTGTTTCATTTTTTAATATATTCCAATAAAACTGAAACCCTGAAACTTTTGTCCAAGTTAAATGTAACATATTCTGCTACAGTGTTTTCTTATAGGTGGGGGCTGTTGGAAGAATAAATCCTGCATCAGTAAATCAATAACTGTCTCTGTGGTTAATGTTATAATTTGTGTGATAGTGTCTGTATCAGAAAGTACATGTCTTGTAAGCTCTTGTTAGTTTATGGTGGCAACAGAAGCAGAGATCTATCCTGATCTCCAAGTTTCCCTTAGCTCGTTCTTCTCTAGGCTGTATGGCAGTAGTGAACTAGAGTCACCTTCCTTCTTTATTGGTGCTTCCACACCCTCTTTCTTCTGGAGCATTTGCACTTTATTCTTTTTACTGCATGTGCTCTGCCCTTGGACTACCCCATCTGCTAGCCTGCCCTTCTCTGTGCTGTGTACTCTCTCATTTGTAGGTGTTCTCTGGCTTTCACAAACTTGTTTCGTACCCAGCTGCCCCCACGCAAATGTCAACATAAGATTATTCTGAGCACTGCAGATACCCCTGGATAATGCTTTCTATACTCAGCTTCTTGCATGAAATTTCAAGGATTGCCTAATGATGCTGGCTTTTTTCTTCACTCTTAAGGCAAGAATCATGTGCTTTAAAAGTGTTCTTTCTGAACAGAATAATGCACTGGATGGCTTTTGAGACCCACGAGCCCCTCGGGGCCCTGTGTTGAATGTGAGATGCTATTAAGGTTGGTGCTGTTACACAGGAGTGAGTGGCAGTTGCCCAGTTCTGTTGCTGTGGGGTGATTTCCCATGGGAAGGGGAACATAAATGGTGTCATTACTTCTTCTTGACCTGACACCACGTGTCTGCACATCTGAAATCCAGTGATGAGAACTGATGCAAGGAGAAAAACTCTTCCATTAGAAATCATCCCTCCTCCCTCACACATAGCTGTCTGTGTATTTCTTTTTACTATTGGGAACCTGTTCAGTATCTTTTGTGTTCCACTCTCACTTACACTGGAGGCTAGTAGCTGGTCAGAGTTTGCAGCATGGTTGTAGGTAGATGGAAGGCCACTTGCTCACTGTTGCCAAAACAATCCTGCCTCTGTTTTTCTGAAGGACTTGTGACTTTAATGAGAGAAGAACTGGTTGTAGGTGATGCTGTGTTCTTACAGAAAGAATGCAAGGGGAGAGCATTGACATTTAGGCAGCAGTGATAGTGCCCTGCTAGTTAATACATAGATAGCTTTCAGATAAAGCCAAAAAGCCAAATTTTTCTTAACTCTAAAGCATGATGGCTGACATTTCTAAGAACTGAGCCTTTGATTTTTAATTAGGTGCATCTAATGAAAGCTTAAAGGGCAGATATGAAAGATGGCTATTCAGTGTGACTGTCAAGAGTAGCAGGAATTAATGTTGCTTAATGCCGTTGAAAACAGTATTTTCTGATAAATTGTGGGAGGGCGGGAGGAGAATGTGTAGAGTGTTCTTGGCTTTCTGTACTCTTAAGTGGGATAAAAGAAGAAGCAAATGGTAAGCTTCCTCCACTATGAAAATCCTCATCCTGCAAAGCGATCTGAGATACCTTACATTTTCTGTGATGTGAATCCACAGCAGTCAACATGTTGTCTGTTATAAATACTTCTTTCTAAAAATCTTCTTGCTCTGATAAATTCCTCTGCTGCTGTGAAGGCTGTTACAAAGACTTGTGTGATGTATTAGAAAGTATGTAATGTTTAAGGATTAAATTAATCAACAACTCAAATATAACTCTTCAGACCTGTGAATTATTTTCAGATGAATGGCTTTTCTATTATTTCATTGCCATCCTTTTGGTGTATCTGTTTTAATAATTGTTTTGGCTGCTATGGAAACACTTCAGGATAGGAATAGTAAATGTTCTTCAGTACTGTTTTCTAATCTCTGATCTGCTATGTGTCGTATTCTTTTCTTATTGGGGTAACACCAACATAGCAAAAATTGCTGTCTGGCCTCCATGCTTACATCAAATGTAAATGTTAAAGTAACTCTAGAGCAGTCATCTCAGTTTTATTGATTAGTGTATTTGACTTGATAAAGTTATAAATATCAGGAGAGAAGTGCAACTCATTTTTTCTTTCTTTCATATCTTATATGACTTCCAAGTAATGTTTCATGAATATTATCTCTAGAGACATGCTCTAATATGCATATAGATACTTGGATTAAGGTCCTGCTCTGGAGTTTCCTAACTAAGCAGTTACACTCACATACACCCCCCTCTGACAGATATATTACATCACATGGGTAATGGGATTTTTTAATAAATTCTTTAAAG